TGCCCTCCGCATCAATTCACTCCTGCACATGAACAAATTGAAAAGAGTTAGAGATGAGGATACCCACACCTCTAGAAAAGGTGAAGTGGGAAAGAATGATATTGTATGTGAAATAAATAAGAGCGGAGGGTACCGACAATGTCAGATTTCAAATGGGTTTTCTGCAAACATACTACAGACGGTTTTAAATGTTTAAGTATATGGAAGACAGCACCCCATTTAGTTTTATCTCCCAGGCCCCTTACATTCCAGGATAAAAACAAATTCTTTATGGGAGACAGACATAATACATATGTATTAAATGGGAAGGATAACTCAATCGTGGACAGATCGAACGCCCAGATCACATGGGTCAGGGTGACTAGGACGACAGCCGCAGGAAGCAGGGAAGATAAACCCAGCAACATGCACTCCACTAAACACAGACATCCCAGGTGAACCATAAACAAAACAAGGGAGAATACTGAAATTATCACCGACATGTAGGCCAAGAGAGCCATAAAAATATTAACTAAAGACACTGGCAGGAGGCCAAAAGGTCCCCTCAGAACAAAAAACAGGTTGGGGTTTGCACAATGTCTCGTGGACAAGCACACAGCAGGTAAATGTAAGGAAAGCCCAAGAGAGGAGGGAGCCCCAACTTAAGCGGGAAAAAAATCCGACACAAAAGAGGAAGGAAATGTGAGAGCAATATCCTGCTGTTCTGCTAAGCGGAGTTTAAAGCACTAAGGATCAACCAGGTCCCCAAGGTCAAAGACCAGGGGAGTTTGCCAGGCGATGTTCCACTCCATCCAACCACTACAAGGCTGTATTAGGATTATCAAAAAAGCGAGAAGCGTCATCCGCAAGCATGCGAAGTTTAGCCAGATGTAGCATGGCATATTGAAGGCCCAATGCCCGGAGACATTTCTTGACATCCAGGAATTTTGCACGTTGCTTTTGAACTTCCATGGAAAAATCTGGAAATAAGGATACTTGAGCATTGTCAAATGACAAGTTACCCTTGCTTCTGGCCCTGGAGAGAATGGTATCTCTGTCCCGATAATTGAGGAGTCTTAACAAAAAGGGTCGAGGAGGAGCGCCGACTGAAGGAGCACGTGCTGGGACTCTGTATGCACCTTCTACGGCAAACATGGGTGAGAATGCATCACTGCCAAAGGTAGAGGTCTGCCAAGCTTCAATAAATGCTACAGGATTTTTATCCTCAGCGAACTCTGGGATACCCACTGCGCGCACATTGTTGCAGCAAGACCGATTTTCCAAATCTTCCAATCTAGAGGCATTAGTAGAAGCAATCAATTGCACATATCACACATCTATATGTAATGGTTGCCAATAATCTTCCAGTGTACTCACTCTCCCCTCCAAGGCCGAGTGCGATCCCGCATTTTCTGCATATCTTGACACACCAGGGTCAATTCCATCCTCATCACCTTCACCTCCCCAGTAAGGAATGACACAGATGAGGTGCATGTAGTGACTGCGGAGAGAATTTATCTAAGGGTGGGTTCAGGATGATCTGCAATGGAAACAGCAGGCTGTGTCCCATGAGACTGGGATGGAGGGATACTCACTACGGGACTGCAGGATGGGATCTCTCAGTCTGCCAGTGCAAGAGGGATCTGTCTACAGCCTGTACAGTTTAAATCCAGAACAGTAGTTGAGTCCAAAAGTAGTTTTTGGAAAGTTTCCTTGGTGAGTGGCCTGGCAAAGAACTTTTGAGCAGCCTCCCTTTGCTTCTCCTTGGATGCACAGATTGGGTTACTGCCATCTTGCCCAGCCAACTCAGGCAAGGCCCGAGTTTCTTTCCCTCTTTTAGCCATCTCAGATCAGGATAATTGGGGCACCAACTGACAGCAGGGGGTCTGTTAGGAATGGACTGGCCAGCAATGGTGGGACTCACCTGCCTTTTGATCTGCAGTACCAGGGCTGGCCAGCGGGTGCTCCCAGCAATCAGAGACTCAACCTTTCAGCCAGCTAACACCTGGAACTGATGATGCTGGGGTATTTAAGGGATGGCCAGACTTGCAGACTCTGCCTTGGTGTTGTGTTTGTCCTGGGCCCTGTATCTGTCCTGCATCCTGTTTCTGTTCCTTTGCTGACTTCTCCTGCTCTGATCCTGGCTTGTGACCCTGACCATTCCTCTGTCTGACCCTCTGTACTACGCTGCTTGCTACCTGTTCTGATCCCTGGCTTGTGACCCGGACCATCCCTCTGTCTGACCCTCTGTACTATGCTGCTTGCTACCTGCTGAACCTGGCCTGTGACCCCGACTATTCTCCGCTTGCTCCCCCTGTACCTACCTGCCCAATTGATATTGACCCGGCCTGCCTGACGACGCTTGCTTGTATATACTGTTATCTGTGGGTGGTTTGGTTTGGTTTGTTTGCACTGTATTATGTTTAGTATTGCCCTGCGTTTATGTTTGTACTGTTAGTGTTAATAAATTATATTGTTTATAACATATCTGAGGTCTGCGTTTCCCTGCTTCAGTCACACACCTCTGGTCATACCTGGGAACCCTGACATTACACCAAGGCCAATCCTGACCAGAAGTGGCTGCACAGGGAAGCCATCTTGGCTTGTTGATGGGAAGGATGGATCTAGATGAGGTTGAGTATTTATCTCTGCTAGTGCTTGATGACAGAGAGTATGCTTATCAGACTCTGAAGGAGTATACCCGGGATGAACTGCTAGAATGTATACGGCTCGCTCATGTTCTAGTAGATCAGGGCACAGTTTTCTCTATGGTGCAGCCATTGATTCAGGTTTGTGTTGAGTTGGTTTCATCTGGTTTCCCCGAATGCAGGGATGAATTTTTGCCACCATTTAGTGCAGACCAGGTAGAGTCCCTGGTGTGGTTATTAGAGGATGATGTGGGTTACTTTCTGGAGCGTTATTCCACATGTTCACCACAGACACTGAGAGATTGTATAAACGCAGTGCAGTCATTGACCAGACAGACTTTGTGTAAACTCAGCTTTGTTCAACCCCTACTGCAGACATGGACAGATTTGTTGCACCCAGCCTCAGTCAGCTTACAAAGACCTAGTCCTGCTTCTAACTCTACTCCTGTATTCCCACCAGCTCCTCCAGTTACAGCCCAGTATACTTGGCTATCTACCGCATGTCAGTACCCTGTTCCCACTCGCTGCACCTACCCCGCCTTTAACCCTGTAAAAAAGCCCTCTGTAGCAACTGCTCCCTCTCCTGTTCCATCCTCCAGTTCTTCTCTGTCTCCAGCTGCTCCATTCGTTTGCAGACCTGCGTTTACTTGCAGTGCTCCAGTAGTTAAAACCAGAAAAAAGCGAAAATTCTTTCCAACCAATACCATCCTGCCAGTATCCAAACCGGTGAGCCTGCCTTCCGTGGTTCAGACTGATGCCTGTACGCAGCCTGAAGCCTCTACTCGGCCTGAAGCCTCTACACGGCCTGAAGCCTCTCCTCGGCCTGAAGCCTCTCCTCGGCCTGATGCCTCTACTCGGCCTGATGCCTCTACTCGGCCTGAAGCCTCTACGCGGCCTGAAGCCTCTACGCGGCCTGATGCCTGTACTCGGCCTGATGCCTGTACTCGGCCTGATGCCTCTACTCGGCCTGAAGCCTCTACTCGGCCTGAAGCCTCTACTCGGCCTGAAGCCTCTACTCGGCCTGAAGCCTCTACTCGGCCTGAAGCCTCTACTCGGCCTGATGCCTGCATTCAGCCTGATGCCGCTACTCAGCAGGATGAACTGATCCAGCCCGACGATCCTATTAGGCCAGTTGACTCGATGCCCGCTGTTGATCCAGATGATCCGGTACCTGATCCAGTGCCCGCTGTCGTGCCAATTGACTCAGAGCCCGCTGTCATACCTGGTGACCCGGTGCCCACTGCCTTGCCAGATGACGCGGTGCCTGCTGGCAAGCCAAATGACCTGATGCCTGGTGACCCAGTGCCCGCTGTCATACCTGGTGACCCGATGCCCGCTGTCGAGCCAGACGATCCAATGCCTGGTGACGCGGTGCCCACTGCCTTGCCAGATGACCTGATGCCTGGCGACCCAGTGCCCGCTGTCATACCTGGTGACCCGATGCCCGCTGTCGAGCCAGACAATCCGGTACCTGATGCCCCGGTGCTCACTGTCGTGCCTGTTGACTCGGAGAGCCCACTGCCTTGCCAGATGACGCGGTGCCCGCTGTCGAGCCAAATGACCTGATGCCTGGTGACCCAGTGCCCGCTGTCCAGTCAGACGATCCAATGTCTGACCCAGTGCCCGCGGTCATACCAGTTGACTCGGAGCCCACTGCCTTGCCAGATGACGCGGTGCCCGCTGACAAGCCAAATGACCTGATGCCTGGTGACCCAGTGCCCGCTGTCATACCTGGTGACCCGATGCCCGCTGTCGAGCCAGACAATCCGGTACCTGATGCCCCGGTGCTCACTGTCGTGCCTGTTGACTCGGAGCCCACTGCCTTGCCAGATGACGCGGTGCCCGCTGTCGAGCCAAATGACCTGATGCCTGGTGACCCAGTGCCCGCTGTCCAGTCAGACGATCCAATGTCTGACCCAGTGCCCGCGGTCATACCAGTTGACTCGGAGCCCACTGCCTTGCCAGATGACGCGGTGCCCGCTGTCGAGCCAAATGACCTGATGCCTGGTGACCCGATGCCCGCTGTCCAGCCAGACGATCCAATGTCTGACCCAGTGCCAGCGGTCATCCCAGTTGACTCGGAGCCCACTGTTGTGCCTGGTGACTCGGTGCCCGCCGCCCCGCCTGGGGGCCCGAGACCTGTCGTTCCGCCTAAGGGCCCGAGACCTGTCGCTCCGCCTGGGGGTCCGGCACCTGCCACTCCGCTTGAGGGCCCGAGACCTGTCGCTCCATCTGGGGGTCCGGCGCCCACCGCTCCGCCTGAGGGCCCGAGACCTGTCGCTCCACCTGGGGGTCCGGCGCCCGCCGCTCCGCCTGAGGGCCCGAGACCTGTCGCTCCTCCTGGGGGTCCGGCGCCTGCCGCTCCGCCTGAGGGCCCGAGACCTGTCGCTCCAGCTGGGGGTCCGAGGCCTGTCGCCCCGCCTGGGGGCCCGAGGCCTGTCGCCCCGCCTGGGGGCCCGGTGCCTGTCGCTCCGCCCGGGGGCCCGGTGCCTGCCGCTCCGCCCGGGGGCCCGGTGCCTGCCGCTCCGCCCGGGGGCCCGGTGCCTGCCGCTCCGCCCGGGGGCCCGGTGCCTGCCGCTCCGCCCGGGGGCCCGGTGCCTGCCGCTCCGCCCGGGGGCCCGGTGCCTGCTGCCCCGCCCGGGGGCCCGGTGCCTGTCGCCCCGCCCGGGGGCCGGGTGCCTGCCGCCCCGCCCGGGGCCGGGTGCCTGCCGCCCCGCCCGGGGGCCCGGTGCCTGCCGCCCCGCCCGGGGGCCCGGTGCCTGCCGCTCCGCCCGGGGGCCCGGTGCCTGCCGCTCCGCCTGGTAGCCCGCTGCCTGCTGCTTCGCCTGGTAATCCGATGTGCCTCTGCCCGGAGTCCTGCCCGATGTGCCTCTGCCCGGAATCCTGCCCGATGTGCCTCTGCCCGGAGTCCTGCCCGATGTGCCTCTGCCCGGTGTGCCTCTGCCCGGAGTCCTGCCCGATGTGCCTCTGCCCGGAGTCCTGCCCGATGTGCCTCTGCTCGATGTGCCTCTGCTCGATGTGCCTCTGCCTGGAGTCCAGCCCGGTGTGCCGCTGCCCGGAGTCCTGCCCGGTGTGCCAGTCTTTGATATCCCGCCAGTTGCCAGACCCGGGCGGTGGAACATTTTGCCCAGCTAGGACTGTTTGGAGCGTCCTGAGGCCGCTCCTTGAGGGGGGGGTACTGTTAGGAATGGACTGGCCAGCAATGGTGGGACTCACCTGCCTTTTGATCTGCAGTACCAGGGCTGGCCAGCGGGTGCTCCCAGCAATCAGAGACTCAACCTTTCAGCCAGCTAACACCTGGAACTGATGATGCTGGGGTATTTAAGGGATGGCCAGACTTGCAGACTCTGCCTTGGTGTTGTGTTTGTCCTGGGCCCTGTATCTGTCCTGCATCCTGTTTCTGTTCCTTTGCTGACTTCTCCTGCTCTGATCCTGGCTTGTGACCCTGACCATTCCTCTGTCTGACCCTCTGTACTACGCTGCTTGCTACCTGTTCTGATCCCTGGCTTGTGACCCGGACCATCCCCTCTGTCTGACCCTCTGTACTATGCTGCTTGCTACCTGCTGAACCTGGCCTGTGACCCCGACTATTCTCCGCTTGCTCCCCCTGTACCTACCTGCCCAATTGATATTGACCCGGCCTGCCTGACGACGCTTGCTTGTATATACTGTTATCTGTGGGTGGTTTGGTTTGTTTGCACTGTATTATGTTTAGTATTGCCCTGCGTTTATGTTTGTACTGTTAGTGTTAATAAATTATATTGTTTATAACATATCTGAGGTCTGCGTTTCCCTGCTTCAGTCACACACCTCTGGTCATACCTGGGAACCCTGACAGGGTCAGAGCACACCCTGGGGACCCGAGATGCCATTGTAGCCAGAGTTTGAGGTGCCAAACAGGATAATTAACAGGATGCAGACAAGAAAAGGTATTTAGCAGTTTATATTTACTAAAATAATTGCATTTCCACTTTCTGTGTACTGTGGAAGACCAGATATAGTGAATGCAGGGTCCAGGGTTTAGTAACATTAACTCTAATAGGGTATATTGCAGTGAATGTGACATTGACCAAACATTCACTGCAGACATATCCTTTTGGTGCATGTGTTTTACATTGTAGTAATGAATTCACCTGCCAAGAATAGGCAGTTTATTTAAATCCACCCCATGACTAATTTCTCTACCTACACTGTTTTTAAGGGTGTATTAGTCTTTTTTTTTTTGTACTTACAAATTCTTTATTAAAAAAAAAAAGTTTCCAACATTACAAAACAATATAAGAAACATATGTTATATAATCCAATATACATCAGTGATTATCTGATAACTGTACAAACTGTCTCAAAATAGCAAAGGGATTACATGTATCTCAAGGGAAACCCACAATGTCTATTGTGTGCGACTCTGAATAACAGGGAGGGAACCTACAAAGACCAAGGCAACAAAGGTGAGATTGATTATGAAGGAGTGAGAGATATTTGGTATATTGTTTTAATAAATATCCTTCACATTTGTTACGTGAATTTTCTGCAAAGGCATTTATTTGGCATTTTATATATATTACAGATTTACCCTTCTAGTCCAGCTCCAGCGTCCCTTTACCTAGGCAAATAAGACCAGGAGGTGGGAAGGTTTGCCAGATCACAGTGATTGGCTGTCACAGGAGCTGCCAGTCCTGCCAGCTCTAAATCCTTACCAGATATCAGGTGCAGTCTTTGTCAACTCAGTCACTAATGCATACATTTATACCTTACATTTTAGTTATCTGGACGGCAGATAATTCAAATACAGTTAATTTTTAATGTACATGACATTTTGTATGGTTGGGCAATAGGACAATATACATTTTTCAATTAGTGCGCATTTACTTTTATAATAACATAGCAGCATTAAAACAGCAAAAATACCCAAAAAAGAAACACCTGAGCAAAGTAAACACCCTATATATATATATAACTTGCAATTTTCTGGTTTTCCAGTTTTTTTTTTTTTTTTTTGGAAGGTGACACACACCTTAAATAGTTACATAGCTGGTAAGGATGAATAAAGACACTGGTCCACCCATTTCAACCTGATTGTATATTTAACTCACTACCATTTTCAATATCCCTGCACATTGTGTTCGCTAAAAGCACATCTAGAATTTATTTAACTTATCTATACTCCCCACTGACACCACCAACTGTGGAAGGGAGTTCCACATCATTACCACTCTACCAGCCAACAGAAAAAAACAAAAAAAAACCTTATACAGTTTAGGATTGAACTGCTTCTTGCCTAACTTAATTGTGTGGTCAGGTGGCTTCCTTAGAGCCCTTAGACTAAATAATTTTCCTCTAATGTTACAGTAACCATTTAACAACTTGCCCTCCAGATTATTTAACCCCCTTCCTGACCAGGGCCTTTTTTGTGATATGGTGCTGTGTTATTTTAACTGACAATTGAGCGGTCATGCAAAGCTGTACATAAATGAAATTTATGTCCTTTTTTTCTCACAAATAGAACTTTCTTTTGGTGGTATTTGATTACCTCTGCGGGTTTTATTTTCTGCGCGATAAACAAAAAAAAACTCCAATTTAAAAAAACAAAACAATATTTTTTACTTTTTGCTATAGAACATATCCAATAAAAACTTAAAAAAAAATAATTTTGTCATAAATTTAAGTCAAAATGTATTCTGCTATGTCTTTTAAAAAAAATTCAAATGTGTAAATTTATTGTAATAAGATAATGGTAGTGAGCGCTCTCTTGTATAGCAGCTGATACACTCAGGTAACCAAATAAAACCTTAAACGTACAATAAATAATAAAGTGCAGCGCTAGGATAACTAAAGATATGATCTGGATATGGATCAGTCTGTAAAGATATGATAAATCCAGGAGTATGCCAATATCAATAATAAGGTGCTTCGGAAAAATGGTAGGACTGCACGCTTACCAGATGCGCATGGATTATGCGCGTTAATATATCCACCTCAGGAACTTAGGGCAGGGATGTATGGTAGGTGTATATGGAACATCCGTCTAGGAATGGGCAGCTCTGCGGTCAATGGATGATGTCTGCTTAGCTCCAGAGGTCCCCTTTAGGATGGATAGGGTCAGCAACCTGTTTACAGGGATTCCCTTCCTCTGGATACTGGTTCAGACTCGTGCTCCACACAGGTTCTGCAGGCTTAAAGGTTCCATAAAGAAGCCATAAGAAAAGTGCCCATAGTGTAGTATTGTCAAATCAATTAATTTATTTAAATCCAGAAAATGACAGTAAAAGGATAAAAATGGGTGCACTGACCATTAGTTAAGATGGCCGCAGGAACAACACGTGGCTCCGGCGGCGTGACGTCACAGCGTGTTGATTTCCTTAGGTCTTTCGTGCCAAGCACGTCTTCAGAGGAAAATCAACACCTGTCAGAATGCCCAAATGGCACCAATCACCCAAGTGGGTCGTCCCATAACAGGAATGGAGGAACCCGACTAACGGCAGACACCTGAACAGTCCTCTGCAGAATCAAATGAACCAAGTGGCAAAAGAGACCACCAGGCCTTACCCCATGCTGTCAGTAAGCACAAAAGAGTTTGACCCCCGGAAGGAGACTGCAGCAGTCAGGACAATGCACATAACTGAATTCAAGAAGTGCAGAGCATGCTGCCTAGGGTGTGAAGGTTGTGGCCACAGGAAGGGTAGGACAATACCCTCATTAAGATGGAAATTTGACACCACTTTTGGAGGAATGAATGGCACAGACGGAGAATGATCTTGTTCCTGCACCAAATTCAAACAGAAAGACTAACAAGACAAGGCTGCCCACCCTGACACCCTCTATGTTTCTCCTAGATTGCAAGCTCGAAAGAGCAGGGCCCTCGAACCCCTCGTGTATTGTATTGTTACTCTATTGTCTCATGTATTGTCCCCCCACTTTAATGTACAGCGCTGAGCAAACCCTTTGGCACTATATAAATACTGTATAATAATAATGTGGAAGTGATGATGCCCAAGGAGAATTTGAGAAGGCAGCAGTGGTGGAATAACCCTATCCGCCATCAAATGAAGGTTGCCAAAAAGACTGAAAGAAAAAAGTTCAGGTCCCACAGTGGCAATGGAGAAATGCACAGAAGGCATTGAAAGAAAATTGTCAGGATAGAACCTGGCCGTTATTGGTATGTAAGGCAAGCTCGTGACCAATACCCTGTCAGAGAAGAGCAAAAACCCAGGCCACAGAGAATTAGAGAGAATGGGCACCCAGAGCCTAACACTTGGTGCAATGATAAATATCCTAAAAGATAGACTTGCATGTCAACATAGTAGGGATCACCAAATCCGACAACACTCTAAACTCTTGGAACTGGGATTTCAATAGCCATGCAGTCAAAACCAGAGACGGTAATGCAGGGTGATGGAATTTCCTTTGGAACAGAAAGGTCCTTTTGAAATAGCAGCTGCCAGGAGACGCCAGTGACCAGCCTCATAATGTCACCGAGCCACTAGGACTGGAACTCCTTCTGCCTCCATCCTGCATATCAAATGGGGGAGCAGCTTAAGAGAAGGAAAAAAGTAAATAAGGTGATCCTTATTCCACAGCACTACCAGCTCAACTGCCAGAGAGTCCCTCACTCTCACCATGAACCTTGGTACTTTCCAGCTAAAGCAAGATATCAGGACAGCCATGCCCAGGGTCCTCCAGTGCCAGCAGATGTGACAGAACAAATACGGGTGTAGGGATCATTACCCTGATCCAGTGTTAGATGAGACAATCCACCTGCCCCCCAGCCACCCAGCATCCACCAACCACAGTCATGTTATGCAAGAAACAGGTGCCAGCCTGGAGATGATGGCAGGGAATGGCAATTGCCTAAAGTCAAGATGGCCAACACCACAGCCCACCCAGGTGCAGCCCACCCAAAGCTGAAACCTAAGTTAATGGCAAGCCAGACCATGTGGGACACGCACCCTTCAGTGTCCTCCTGGCAGTCCAAAGCATCCCCAGCAGGCAGTAAAGGTGAATGACCGCACACCAAGAGTGAAGAATCAATTCCCACACTTCACAACTCCCACAGTCACAGCTGAGCCATCATGC